ATTGATATTTTTATATGCATGATGGCGTGAGTTGTATTTTGTATATTTAGTAACCTTTTTTTTCAGAAATACCGAATATTGATATCAAACAGATACTCACCAAGTGACGTCAGGGGTTTTCCCTCCGGGGGAACGATATAGTTCCCCATGGCATCTCGAGTGACTAAAAATACATACGAACAATGGTTAACACGAAAATATTTTGGACAAGCCATGTAAAGAAAATCATTCTTACACTTTTATAGTATTACATTTACAGAATTTTATAATCAATCATTGTATATATTTGACTCGGCTATATTGAGCAGAGTTTTGAAATTTCCTTTTACAAATTACAAGCACATGTAAGCAAAATTAAAAGCTGCAGGTTTTTTATGAATAATGATTTATTTTAGAAAAGTTTCTTTTCATTGATTATAGAATTGTTACAGACCATTTATGATCATTGAATTTGATACCTCTGATAGGCAATGACCACAAAGAACACGTGTATTATTGTACCTTATATCTTTATCTCATCATACATATCTTCATACAATATGCGATATATTTCCATATTTTTCCATTCATTCGCTTAACTATCGTCTCAGAAAAAAAACACATGATACTAATAGACATTCTCATATTTACAACAATTTGGAAAATCGGCGGATCGAGCTTCTTTCGATTAAGGAGAACAGAAAATGTCATTAAATTTGGTAAGAAATATACATATAATCATATAGTTTCTCATTAATGCATAAACAATGTTTTTAAGCAAATTGCAAATTTTTAATTTATAACATTTGGACGCAGATAATGTTTTAAATATAATAACACATCGTGTGTATTGTATAAGACTATGCACAGATACTTTTATACAAAATCGATTATTCTTCTCTTTATTTCAAGTGAATTTCATATTTCATATGTTCCATTCTGTTTGATCTGTACCGTTAGCTTTAATTCCGACTTAAATAAAATGAACCCCTTTTAATGTTACATTCAATTTCCTCCTTAATATTGACTTCTAATTATTGGCCTCGGTTTATTGGCCGTCTTTGATCCGATCACCTTCATTTGCTTTTTTACTTCTTTGAATTCGATCCAAATCAATGCATCGGGTAGAAAAGAAAGCTGTTTTATGTTATCAATTATTTTTATGATGGAAAAATATTTTTGCAACAAGCTAATTTTTTGCATTATTTCCGGTGGTGGTTGTTTAACAGAATTTCGTGGTTGTATAATGATAAAACTAAATTAATTTTGCATAAAAGATTGACACATCTAAATTTGCCTATACATGCGCGTAATCGATTTTTTTTTATTTCAAAGAGAATAAAATGTCTTTGACACAAACAGAATTATTCATTTTAAAGTACAAATGTAAAGTTCTCTTCAAAGCTCACTTTAAAAGCATGGAATTATTCAGATATAAATTCAAACAGCCATTAAAGTGATAAACAAGAATTAAAAATTTATTTGTGTCAAAAATTAATCTTTAAAATGTTTTGTAACGTTTTATAAGAACGAGTTACGGTAACATTTTGACTTCTATTTTCTTTCCATTTATCCATTTATTTTTTATTGATGGCTACGAATCTCAAATGAAACCGTATATTTAAGCTTATCATAATTTCAATTTTCCTGTCAAACCAGGCTTTTTTTCTTCTTCTCAGTTTCAAGCCATGCATAAACATGAAAAACAAAGAAGATGGGCGCATTTGCCGTGTGATCTGCAGGAATCATTTCTACGAAATATTTATGGTTTAGATGTCCATGATTTGGTTGGCTGACCGTAGCTGGTCAGATTTTACAAACACAGCCATAGGATTTTTCTTTCATTAAGTTTGGAATACCATATCAGATTGTAATATTTATACCCGTTATTCTTAGGAAATACAATAACAAAGGAAAGCTTCACCAAAAAAAAATTATTAAAACACCTATTAGATAAAAGACGTACGATAAGTGTACATGTACATCAAAGTGTAAGTAGAATAGAAGATCGAAATTGATTTCGCTCTTGGTGCAACTGAACCAAAATTTATCTAATTCAAAATTTGAATAAATCGGTACATAAATTGTAACTGACAAAAGAATTGATTGTTGGCATTAAAAAAAATCAACGCCCCATGCGAGGCTCGAACCAAAAAAAAATTATTTATGGTGCACTAAACAGGTAGCCCATCATACTGAGCTATTACGGCTACACATACTCATTTTGTTATAAAAGGAAAAAGAAGCACAACATTTACACAATTGGATTTTTTAGAAAAAGTTTTTTTCATGGTCTCTGGACTCTGGGTCTTCTCTCCATTTTTTACAAATGTATGTTCGTTTCTTTTAATTCAAATACACACAAATAACGTTTCAAAATCATGGAGAGAAGACCCAGAGTTAGAAAATTTTTAGAAAAACGTGTTTAAAAATGTAACATTTTGTACTAAATGCCCGATCTAGCCAATTTTGAAGTTATTTTTAAGCAAATCAAATCTCACTATCGGGAAATAATTTTCCTTTCCCAATTCACAGGAACCCGATAAATAAAATGAATGTTAAAATTTCATATTACATGTGGATAAAATTTTCACTTTTCAAGTACGCCCAGATTCCTGCCGAATGCCAATCAAAAGCGCCCTCGTTCTTTCCAAAAAATAAATATAAACTTCCTTCTTTTTTCATCAAGTGACAAAAGAATTTATAATAGGCCTAAATAACAACTACAAAACACAAGAAGCTGGCTGGGATAACAAGATTTACTTTTTGGGATCTGTGGTATACTACTTTATGACCCACACCTACCCCTTAAAAATCTAATGGAATTTCCCTTACCTCGTCTTGTCTCTCTTTTTCTTGTTATTCCCATCATCATATGTACCAGATACAATTATTTTACCGGAATATGCGAAAGCGAGAAAATCGAAGACTGAATAAATACTGATTCCCAATCACCGCTGTAAACCCGGTAATAAACTGTACAGCTAATGAAATTTTAGCATCACTAGCCTTGTATATTAATGCTGCAAACTAATTAACTTTCTAAGATCTCTACTTCTACCTTTTATTGTTTCTAATGTTTACTACTTTGATTTTTTTTATTTTACATACGGTGATGCTTTTACGAGGTCCTGCACAAGATAACAAAGGTCGAATTGAAAAATATTGCTCTCTGTAATAAACTAAAAGGATGCCGTTAAATATTTTTTATCTTACCTTCATAAATTTGCTTTCGAGTCGCAAAATTGAATTTTCTTTTGAGATATGGAAGGTGCAAATCGTTATTTATTCGATTTTTCATCGCCATTGCAGCATTCCGATTCAAGTTTTACGTGCTGTTCTATTGTGACGTCACAGTAGATTGACGTAACAGAATATGCCAATTCCACAACTAGCCTAGTCTCTGAAGCGCGTGAAACTTTAAATTTCTTTTTATTAAAAAAAAAAAAATTGTGCGTTACCCAAAAGTAGACTTGTGCATTTATCACACCAATTTCTTGCTCTTATAAATAAAAACTTTTATGGCATACTGTGGCATGTAATGAATCAGCGAATAGCGCTACAAGATAAACATTGCACAATTTTATTGCACATTCCACGTCTCTAAGAATTTATATCTTTAATGCTCTCTCAGGTTATGTTCCCAATTGACCTTGATACCATTTACAGATATTTCAGAATCAATCAGAAAGTAAATACATCTATTTATGAACCTCGACATCTCACGATGAAGGTTATTTTTCCATTCACTTCTGTCGTATATTTGTAACGATCTAGAAAACTCTAAAAGTCTGAATAAATTGTATATGGGATTAAATTGTACAAAAAACTTAAAGCAATTGAAAGTGCAATGAACAATTTCAATAAATCAAATTCAAAATTCAAAATTCAAAAACCAAAAGAATCAAGTATGTAGGGAAGAAATCATCATAAACTCTTGCACATAAGACCATTTTTGAAACTTTAAATGTTTGTCAACTCCTTCCTGACTCAGGGTTATTAGGTCGGTATATTGCATGTTTAGGTTGGAGAGGTTTTCCAGAAAATTTCAGTATACGATGTTGACGGAATGATTTCATTCAGGAATAAAAAATAAAAATATCGTTTCTTCAAGGTTAAAAAAAGTTTCGAGTCTGTCCGTTTTGAACCAGTCGGTAGCTAGAGAGAGGGCAAACGCGCTTTAATATTTCCAACCGGGTAATATATTTTATGGTCCTACGCCAGAACTATAAAGGAAAATTTTGGGAAATATTTGACCCGAACTGATCAGTGTAAACTTATATTACATGTACATTATCCCTGACTTTATTCTTACGTCAGCGGCGTATGAATAGTGATTGTGACATTGCCACGCGCTTATCGTATCCTATAATCACCGCCATCAGTGTCGGGAACTCATTTTACCAAGTTCCATTGTTTTAAGTGATGTCCGCCATTAGAATGCGATGATCCGATTGGGATTTTATTCGAGTAAAAACAATACCATCAAACGAAGACACTCGACACTGTATATTTTAAAAAGATGTATTTTAAATTTTTATTGGGGGGCTTCTAGGGAACTGAGATATAGACTTTTAATTTACCTTTAAATATGTGAACGATTTTTTTTACTCTACCGTACATAACATTGTTATATTACAATAAATACATCGTCAATTGTTGATGTTAAACAGCTTAAAATATACACGTATAAGTAATCCAAAATTATGTACTAATTGTATATTAATACATGTGTATTTCATTTCACCTTTGCAATACTAGTAATTTGCTTTTTGTTCCATCAAATGTGAGAAAATTGTCGATATTGGACAAAAAAATATATCTATCAAGGTTCAAACTTAATTCATATACAACGCAGGATAATTATCAAGCATTGTACACACCCTTAAAGAGGCCCCAGGTCAAACTATGTATTGAAACATTTAGCAAAGTCAGGACGCATGTTATGTACAGTCCTTCTGATGTTTTGGAGATATTAAACCACGGGCTGTGGGAACTGTGCATTGTGCCAAAAACAGACCCTTCCTGAACATTCAGAGAAACAGATAGAAGAGTTGACTCAAAGACTGAACAGTTTAAAACGATACGACGGACTTCAATTTGGACCCTTTTTTTGCTAAAAGTTTTAACATGGATTCGGAGCAAAGGAAGCGAATTACTTCGAACATAACGTTTTTGAAAGAACGGTTAGGATACTTGGATCCTATTCTTGATCGTCTTGTTGAGAAAAATGTTTTGACAATGGAACAAAGAGAAAGGATTGAAAAAGTTCAGCCGCCAACACCACATAAAAAATTCAACGAGTTTATACAGTTTCTGTTGGCTTCCCCGGGCCCCGGAACGTTCCCGGCATTCATTGCGTCACTGGAGGAGGAGCGGTTCTTCAATATCGTGGAAAAACTACAGAAAGATGGTAGGTGTTAAAAGATATATTAGGTGTTGAAAATGTATCACGAAACCCCGAAAGATTTATTTATTCGCTTTTCTCCATTATTTTTCTATGCATATTTGTATCTGCACTTGCCATCTAACTTATACAACCGAGCTGTAAATCGGTCTACGGTTAAATCGGTATATTTAATGAAAATTTTAAATTTGGTAAATTCCTGTCCTTAGATTTTAAAGTTCTATCTATGTTTGTTATCAATTAAACTAATTAATCTTGGTGTATTTACAAACAATGAAATAGTTGCATTAAATCGTGAAACAAAATGCTTCATGAAATGACTTTGCAAAAATTCGCAGTCTGTATATGGATAATGAATTTCACATTACTTGGGAGAAGTTAGGAGAAAAGGTGAAAATTTGACTTGAATTCTATTTGTTTTTTAACAACTGCAAAAAATTTGGACATCCAGATACACATGAATGTTAAAATGCGTTGATAGGGTCGATTTATCTGTTCACAAGAATTATAATTTAATGAATGGATTTAGGAGATGTTATGAATTATTTCAAAATTTATTTTAAGTTCCTGGAAGAAAAACAACTGTAGCACGTGACACATACGTCAGACCCCAGACCAGCATCTCCCGCCCAACGACAGCTGTCCTAACACAACAGACCACAGAAACAAATGTGAGTACCTGATATGTGAATACGGAGGGAAAAAATGAATAATTCGAAAGGAAAGCAGAATATTGATTAATAAAAAAGTTAATTAGCTGACATTTATTTGACTGAGTAATTTTTTGGTCAATTTCCAATTTTCATGCATTTTCTTTCAATCTTACAGGCCGGGGTTCCAGAGAAAGTGTCGAGATCGAAGACCTCGATATACCGACAACCCGCTTACCACCTTGTTGACGACGACACGGATACACTCAAATCTGAATCCCCCGCCCCCCAGAGCCCTTCTCCAATCAGTCGACCGAAGACGTCATCAAATCACGATCCTCACTATGGAGGCGCCAAAATCGCAGACAGGGTAACGGTAGCGGTGGGGCATATGTTTGCAGAGTTCAGTGGTAAACTGACCAATGATCTTTTAGACGGGTTCGAGAGGAGGCGCCACGAGGAAAGGATCGACTTGGAAATTCGAATCGAGAAGAAAATTGATCACGTCATCGACAAGCGCGTCGACGAAAAACTGGCGACGTTCAAGCAAGAATGGGAGCAGGAAAAAGCAAACTATTTACAAGGAAACCAGAAGGCTTTGAATGCTCTATCTGAAAGTATTGAAAGTCTTCAAGCCTACCAAGAGGAATACCTCCAACTCAAGCAGAAATACGAACAGCTACAACATACGCATTCTCAGATGCGCGAGAAAGAAAACGAGAGATGGCAAAAATTGTCCGTCTTGAATAAAGATAACAACACTTTGAAGAACGAGGGAGAAGTCTTGCGTGGACAGATAATTGAGCTTAGAGATCGGGTTCAGGAACTGGAGAGTGACAACAGAGTTCTCAAGGACAACGAGATCCAGGATCAATGCAAGATCAACCAACTCGTAGCGGACAAAGAAGACCTTCTGGCTGAGCTGGAGAGAACCGAGCGCGAAAAGATGGACCTGAAGATGCGTGTTGACACTCTCTCCCGTGAGATTGAGAAACTGCTGAACAGCCAACAGGAACGGGCCAGTCAAGAGGACAAAGCCTACCAAGATGCACTGCGAAAGCAGAACGACCGACTGGATGAACTGTACAAGGTCGTACAAGCACTGTCTGATCGGGATCGACAAACCAGAAATCTGTTTATCGGCGGTTCCACCATGTCCAAGACGATAAGAACTTCTGCTAGACCAAACAAATAAGTTCGCGACTCCATGTGGAAAGTGAAAAGAAAGCCATACCGTCTTTGGTTTGCAGATACCGGAAAACGAATTAAAAACCTTTTTGGTACTAAAAGGCATTCTTGAATACGTAATAACACGTACTGAAAATAACTATCTATGCAGATGAAAATTACCAAAATATGTATGTAAACATGTTATTACTAACATGACTAATTCAAAATATATGGCTGTATTTGGTTTGACGCTAGAAACCGAACATAACCCTGCATATTAAAGGAGTTCTTTAATAATTGACCTTTTGAGTACTAGTAACTTGTTTTGACCATTGAATACTATTTATTTTTAGACTCGTAGTGATTGAAAATTTAATAAGAACATCTTAATTTCATTTTATTTTTAAAACATCGCTGCACCATTTCAACTTTAATTTTAATTGGTGGACTTGTTTTTTTACGGACATCTTTGGATGAAAATTGAATGTACTTTTAAGTTTGCCTCTGTTTTTGTACATATGTACTTGTTTATCATATATATACTCTTGTTTTGTTTATTTTTCATTTAATTTCTGTCATCATTTTTTGTATTATTTGATTTATCAGTTAGTTAAATAACTGCAGAGAACATTTTAGACATTTTTCGTCTGATGTTTATTCAAAAAGGTTCTTTAAGCTTTTGAATATACTGATTTTATCAGCTTCAGAATTGGACGGTCCTTCCGTTTGTATTGTTATATGTCTGTTGTATTAAATCAGTCCTCTGTCTCATGTATGTATATCTGTTCCAGGGGTTGCTTCACGTTTTGTTTATAAGCCAAGTTTTAAATTGTGTTCATAAGTACATTAAGAAATTTCGTAATACGCCACGTATAAAAGTTTAAGTAAATATTAAATTTTGTGGAAATATTTCGAGATTTGTTTAAAAAAAATACATGCTATTGATTTAAAATGTTTCTCTTACATTTAATTTGAAGTGAATTTGAAAGTTTTCTGTTCCGAACTACAATGATTTAGCCGTTATGGTTAAGATTAATTCTAGCCGCTTTAGTTTGTGCGTCAATTTTAGTTGCATTTCTTAATGTTCAAAATAAACAAAATAAATTCTCTGAAATATTTTTTGCCATGTATATGAAAAAAGTTTTTAAATAAAGAATCTATTTTCACTTAAAAAATTTTATTGTCACTTTGGATTCAGAACATTCAGGGAATGAGAGATAACTTTGAAGACAGCAGCAGAAATGATCAATTTGACCTCAGGAAATATGCACACATAAATTTTACCAAAATTTTCTGTTACTAGAAACTACAATGTATATAATGTTATAGTTCGTGTAATAAAACAAGGATATTATTATGTTAGTAAATTTTTTTAGTAACTGAAAAAGTTGGTGCAATTAAAAGTAATGCCAACTCCTGTAAGAAATGATTTTGCATGGAATGAAAGTGATAAAAACAAGATGTGTTTGTGAAACACTGATGCCCCCGTATGGCAACATAGCGAAGATTAAACTTTTCTTAAATGCAAGCTCATTGGAAATACAATTCTGAAATATGAAAGTAGATTAAAGTTTTGTCATAAGTACGGAAATCTCCAAGGTCAAGGTCAGAAGGTCCAGGTAATTGGTATACAATAAAAGGTTTTGCCACAAAGAAGAAATATGTAAAGTATGAAAGCCTTAGTCCAAACCGTTCAGAAGTTATGGACAATGTTAAAAATTTTAAAAAGTAAATCAAACTCAAAAGTCAAGGTCAAACGTCATGCTATCAAATAAAAGGTCTTGTCACAACAATTAAATATGTAAAGGATGAAAGCACTAGACCTAACCCTTTAAAAGTTACGGTCAAGGTTTGCTTTTTATAAGTAGGTCAAACTCCAAGGTCAAAGTGTCAAAGTTCTTGGTATCCAGTGAAGTGTCTTTTCACAAAGATTACATATATGAAGTATGAAAGCACTATCCCTTACTGTTCAAAAGTTATGGCCAAGGTTAAAGTTTTTTCATAAGTACGGAAATCTCCCAGGTCAAGGTCAAAGTTGTTGGTATCCAATGAAAGGTCTTTCAATAAAAAATATATCTGTGAAGATAAATGTCTTGGTATCTACTGTTCAAAAGATATGGCCAAAGTAAAAATTTAGAATTTTTGCGTAAAAGTGGGTAAAACTCCACGTTCAAGGTCAAAAGGTCAAATTTTGTGGTACCCAAAGAAAGGTCTTGTCACAAGGAATACACATGTGAAATATGAAAGTCATAGCTCCATTAAATCAAAAGTTATGGGCAAGGTTAATGTTTTTGCAGACAAACAGACAGACAGCTAGACAGACAGACGGACGAACACGACAAAAACTATATACCCCCGAGACTTCGTTTACGGGGGCATAAAAAATAATCAATGAAAAAGGGACCCGGTATTATTTACTGTGTTCCCTTCATGAGGAGAAATTTTGCCAAATTTAACGGAGAAGTGGAGTGTTGATTGTGACAAACATTTGGGATTGGTGTGTTTTGAAGAAAGAATAAAAAAAACACTGTTGATACATATAGTCATACCATATACAGTGTTATGATATCACAAAGGAGAATAACTTTTAAATTTCATTCTGCCCTTCTTCATTATAATTAGCATCTTAAGGCTGTAACATGACCCTGAACCCGCAAAACACGATCAAGGTCAATATAACTGTGATTAATGAGACAGACATGTAAATATAATATTATTTTTAAGTAGTGCATTGGGTGCTTTTTCTCATGCATCTGTCTTAATAGGTTTTTTTTTTTAATTTCATCAGTAGTCATCAAAATGCAAAACGACGAAAACCTTCAATATCAGTATGATTTTAGTCAATTTAATCAAAAGTCACGTCAAATTAATTTTAAAAATATTGAATATATATATAGCCTTAAATTAAATTTCAGAGACACTTAAGATTCAACAATTTTTATTGCAATCAACAAAACTCAACAAGAAATACAATTGTTCCATGTTACGTAAGTACGAGGGTAGACAAGTCAAAAGGATACTGTATGTTTTGTAGTTTACAGTATTTGTTGCTATATATGTTGGATATTTGTTTTACTGTATATTTTTACAGTATATTTCTTTTTTAATAATACAGCATTTTTAGCTGTTTTAAGATATATGAACAGTTTCTTTAGTTTGTTTCAGTGTAGCGTCCTTGTCCAGTTGATGGGTTCCAGTTTTAATCTCTCTCTGTCCATTCTATCATCTAAATATTTCTCATTCTTCTCTTTCATCCATTTCTTTTCCATTAACTGTAAAGGAAATAAAACAACAGATTGTGTACCCCATGGTGGTGCAATTGTTGCAGCTGAGCTGAAATATATTTTTATTTTTTCCATGAGGAATCAATGTGCTTGTACAATGCAAAAATACATTTTGTATCCTTATTTATAATCTAACAGTCTTTCTTTCAGCTTCACTATATAAGCACATTGTGGAAAAGATTATGGTAAGAACTGAAGTAGAACGTTGCTGTTTATTACCTCTTTATTTGCATCCCTGAACTGTTGTAGATAGATTCGTTTATTTATTCGGGATTGTCTTTCTTTATCAACATGGTTTCTGTCTATATCTATATAAAAGTCGCTCTCCTTTGCTCTCTCCCAGAAATCTCTCTTCTTGTTCACTTCATGTTCTAGTATCTGATTCTTCAACACTGACAGAAATTTGGGTCTAAAAAGGGAAAAATTAAATGTACACGCATCTTAACAAATAAAAGGCTGTATTACATGAACAGATAAACAATTTTTTGGTTAGAATTGAAGATTATTCACAGTCACAAGTGGATAAGCGATGAGTGAGGAAAACTAATTCCTTCCACGCACCTCTCCCTAAGAGAGAAAGGGGGGATACAGATCATTGTTAGGGTAAGAATGAATCGTCAAAAATGTTACACATATACTGAAATGCTTTCTGATGTTATTTCAACACTCGTGTAACAAACTAATTAAAAATTTCTTCCATTTTGACTAATTGTCAGGTAAAATGACCGAATCTTTTTTTACCATGGTTATATATTTCCTTCTTTAACCTTTACCGATTTGGAAGTAATCAACAATTTGTCGTGCAATGTAAAATATATAAAATCCAACTAATTAATAAAATTATATTTAAGGATATACGCAACTTAAATGTCAAGTATTTCTTGTTTAATTTAAAAGTTCTTATTATTGAAGGACCTTATTCGTGATTTTATGATGCCTGATAATACTGTACACATCCTTTAAATCAAATTTTATGGGAAATGCCATCTAAAACTATTTTTACGTTAATTTTTCTTTAAAAATGTCAGTATTTTCATTTATTTCTCGTTAAAACTCTTGGTAATGTATTGTATGCTGATTTTTTTTTCCATAAAAACATCTTAGGCCACACCAATTAAAATTCTTGTTCGTCGGACCCGCGCGCTCGTGTTTAAACAAAACTATATAAATAATATTAATTTAAATTTCCCGCACCATGGGAATTCTGTGCCGTTTTCTATTCCATTTCCGCTCTATTTATCTTAATTTTAATCTGATTACTCTTCAAATCAGAAAAAAATATAATTGACCGCTCAAATTATTTCACGCTCCGCCTAAAAATTATGCCTACAAAAGAGTAATAATATTATTATTTAACCGCTTGCCCGTAATTTTTTTCATCAAATGTCCGACGAACAAGAAATAAAATTGTTGTGGCCTTATGGTACTATAATTTAAAATTGCAAATATCTTTTAAAAGTAGCAGTGGAAAAGTTGCAGTGTAGATTTTTTTTTACACATGTACGTTGCGTATGTCTTTAATCGGATTGTCCTCAAATGAATACCAATTGCAATTCATTTTATAGTTTATTTTGATTTATCTTTAGCATTGTGAGATTTAATTTAGATGTAAATTAAAACAACACAGTGGTTAAAAGATTTCCATTAATTCTAGAAGTTGTGAAGACGACCACTTACTTGTCAATTCTGTACTTCTCTTCCATCTTCTAACTCCTGTCCCTCCCCGGTATAATACACGGTTGGGGTCAGTTTTTCTACGTCATCTCTTATTGACACTCTAGATCCTCGGTTTGATATCATTATAGAAAATGTGTGTCAGACATATCGCGCTCCAAAAGACTCTTTTGGAAGAATTGATTTAAACAACTCGGGTATCCGTTTTGTCGCAGAATGCTAAGAGCCCTCTGTGTATTTGTGTGACTCTGTTGACCAGAATATTTGCAGAAAAAATATTCTATTTCTATGTAGATATGTATATAAAGTTAGACGCTTTGATCGATCTCCTATTGATCTAGTTTTATTTTAGACCAAAGTTGCGGATTAGATTTTTTCGTCTCGTAGTTTTAATTCTCAAGGTATTTTTTTTCATTTGACTTCATTCAGGACACTGATCCTCAAAGGAAATCAAAGGTTTTCGTTTAAATCTTTTCAAAGAACCAAATTTAAGCTTTATCAAATTATGAAAATAAATATAAATATACATGGACACATAGAAAGCAATAATTAATATAAAGCATTAAAGCCCCCTCAAAAAAATATTTTTGAAAATTTCAATTTATTGATTGCAAAATGCATCTAAGTAAAATTATCAAAGTAAAACCTGAATCACATGATTTTTAAAGAAATCTATGAAATTATTTGAAATACACTGTGCGAGCAATAAATTCATTGAGTTTTAAGTCAATGACATTTAGCTATGAACAATTTTTGGCATCAATAAGGCAATTTTTGTATTCTAATAATAAGGCAATCTTTGTATTCTAATAATAAGGCAATCTTTGTATTCTAATCTTTGTCCTGTATCTCAGAAGCCATATATAAATTATTACAAGAATATGTTCAAACAGTGTTTAAGGTCATAAAAATGTCACAGGTCCACGAATTCGTTCTCTTCACAAGAGTTATCTTTCTTATGAAACATAAGGAATAAATTGTATACAAATTTTCACCAGAACATAAGATTTTAATAAGACAGAAAATGAAACAATTGTTAGCAACAGTGTGTATTCTAATCTATGGTTTTCATCTGAAAGATTGATAATCTACAATCTATCAAAGAAAGACACATATATCATGTACCCTATATATGCCTGGGTTTGAGCTATTTAAATATAATTGTTGATGTTTCAATTAGCCTTTAGGTTAGCATTAGAATGAAATAAGTAAATGTACAAAGGTCCAAAATACAACTATTATAGTATGTACAATCAAAAATAAAAACAGATATTCTGCACTTTAATTAAAAATATTACAACAATAAAACAAAAAATAAAATATATTTCATGTTATAATACTGATAACAATATGTAGATGATTATGATATGCAGTAACATACGATAAATACTTTTGTTCATCACAGTAATATATCACATGGTCAAAAATTTCTGTGTTTTGAACACACCTAAATGTAATCTATCCAGAGTAGCCGCTCTTCTCTTTCAGGACCGACAACTCTGAACAGAAGCACACGAAATACTCAAATAAAACCGAAGATAATATTAGGAGTCGGAGTAGCTTGATAGTGATTTTTTTAGTCTTGCAATGTATGTATGAAGATATAAGATAAGGCATGGATTGAGCAAATATTTAGAGGGTGAATTCACATCTAAAAAGTCACGCACACTAGCACACAATGTCAGTGACTGTGTTTGAAGTCATTGGACACTGATGGTTTAAAACACCTGATACAAAATATCAGCAGTAAGATATGCAAAGATTAAAAAATAGGCATGAATATAAATGTTGTGAAAGTTTTGAAGAAGTATAATTACTGAAATAGAGTCCACTGTCATAGGCATATTATGCTTAGAAATTTGGTAATAAATTTGTGTTGTGAATTATTTTTTTTTTTTTTAGATTTCAAAATCTTTTTCTTTAAAAAAAACAGTCAAAGAAACCGAGTGATGAAAACGGTGATGTAATTTATAGAAAGATATCTGTAGATAACAGACACTCTTGGTAATGTAATACAATTCTAAAACTCCGACGGTGCATTATTTTGTAAATAATGCCCTCTTGGTAAACATGAATTAAAACTGTGAGCATTCTAGTACAGAATCATTTGAGACTACAGGACCAGTTGATAGGGTTATATCGGAGTCGTTCTCGGTCAATTCTCTGCTCCAAAAATCGGTTGGTTCGTGACTCTTGCCATTTTTTCTCCATCATCTGCAAAAAAAAAAAATCTTCAGAATATGTATTTTTTTCACTCCTTTGTATTAAAATAGCAATTATTTAAATGTAAGTTTCCTTTCCCAGAATTATGATTTATGTTTAGCATTTTATATTTACAGTACAAATATTTCTTTTTAGAGAAAATGGCTTTAAGGGGGCATCTTCTTTTAACGACTTTTTATTTCCTTCAGTTGTACTGTCATTTCACATGTACTTTTCAAAAACATGTAATTTATAAATCTATAATTTTGTTTATTATATAATCAACTTACGTCCTTGTTTCCATCCCTGAAGTTTTGTAAGTAGTTGTGTTTTTTGATGAAGGCATCCAAGTCTTTCTGTCGACAGTCGTTGTCGTAGGCAATGGACTGCGTGCTTTCCATACATTTTTCTTTGAAAGCGAGGCTCTTACCAAGGTCTTGATCCGCCATTTGTTGTTTCAGAACGTCACGAAAGTGTTTTCTGTCAAAGTGAAGAAGTGAAATTATTGAACATGTAGATGTTGATGGAATCTAATTTGTCAGTTGATATGTTTTTACACGTTGATGGTGAGGAAATTTAATTCGTGATGTAAATAATAAAACTCAACATGCGGTGGCGGTCGAATAAGAAATCTTGGTCGAATAAGAACCACGACCAACAAAAATATGAAAGGGTATGCTATAATGAACATTATTATCCCTCACAAAGGGGTGAAGAAGATATAGTAAAACAATCTTGTGTGTTCGTTTGTGAATGAGTTAGCGCTTTACGAGACGGAAATGACGTAATTTGCATCGGGATCGGAATACTGCCTTGATTGATAGATACGCTCTTTGCGAGGGGATACTCCTCCTTGCGGGGACCCTTGTTAGAAACTATAACCTCTCATCTATGCTATAAGTAGGTCTGTAAACGTTTTACATAACTCTCATATTTGAGTTTTAAATACAGATTATATAAAAGTTTGAATAGTTATTTTAGCTCCCAGTCTTAACATATTGTGTCACAAAATAGAAAAAGATGTATTTGACAAGGAAACTTGAAAGTTAAATTTAGGCTTTGCGGGTAATTAAACTTCATATATAGAGAGTTATCCAACTGTATTGAGGATAATGCTATATACGAGGTCTGTATAAATATGTATATCGAAATGATATACCGCTTGTATTCAAAGTCATGAACAATGTACATTTATATCGCAAGCTAGGATCAATAAATGTACGACAAGAATTTACTTTAAGTCTTTAATTTTGTCTTCCTAGAGTACTTCACAAGATATCTTCTACATAAATTGAATTTAAATTGCTCATTAACCTGGATGGACGATGCCAATATTTATTTTCAAAATTAAAACATACCTTACAAGTAATGTAGAAAAAAATTGTGTTATGAATCGTCTCAGTGGTGGTAACAGTTAAAAATACACAATCACTAATAATTTAATTATGAATTAACTGAATTAAAAGCAAACAGACCAAAAGTTTGAACTTTCGCTTTTCTATCCTATGCTTGAAGGATATCTGAAACGCGTGTACTTACAACTTGAACACGATTTGGATATTATCGAAATGAACTTCTTTGGACTGACATGTTTTTCTGTGCATTTCAGTTTAATAGATTTTTTTCTTTTGGGGGGGGGGGTACCTTTAATTTGAAAGTGCCTTGTATGTATTATTCGCTACTTTTGATGTTATATTGACTATCATGCATATATTATCCCATTTGGATGTATATTAAGTAAGTCCTTTTTCTGAAATTTTTTAATTAAAGACCTGCAAATCACAATATGCAGACCAATTTAAAATGTTTAATAATGAAAAAAAAACGAAAATCTTTCATGTGAAAGAAGTTAACAGATTATGATAAATATTTTTACTTGGGCAATATTTTTTCCAAAGGTAAATTAGGAACATACTTCTCTTCGTCGTTCTGGGTGGGTCTCAAGTATTCGATTTTCAATTTATGCTCTAGATTAAACTTCTGATAAACAAACCATCGTTTTATGAAATATAGAACACTGTCAGTCTATATCAAAGTCAATGTTGACCTAGGCCAGACACTGTGTTTAATATCTTGGTTTATTGGTCGTAATGCGGTCTGACTAGAGGGGGTGTTAATTTGCCTTATGCTGAGCCCGAGGATATATATCGGGGCTACCGATTCCAGATTCCTCTTGGTTAAATCTGTATCCAACGAAAAGGAATCGGGCGTTTGAACTACCAGGAGACATCTGCACATGCTATTTAAAACGTTCATTTGATCAGGTTTATGTATGGTCAATTCCCTAACGTTTGATGAGGTTTAAGGTAAACTGTTCCATGGCGATAAAACTATCACCCAATTACAGAACTGAAAGATTTCTCAAAAATTCATAAAAATTAATGAATGAATAGATATCTCATAAGTTAACACATTTTTATACGGAGAACTTGCCGTAGGACCTAACAGTTTTCCTTTCCTTTGAAGTTTTACTGATATTTTTTCTTTTTGTCTGAATTCAGATCTTTTCTTTTGTTTGATTGGAATGTGAAGAGAGTCAAATTAAACTGAAAGGAAAGAGTTTAAATTTTATGTTCTTGACAACGTCGATATTGAAAGAAAAACTAGACATTTAAATTTACAAAACAAGTAAAATCTTTTGACTTCTTCAGAAAGTTTTTCACAAAACATATACGTACAGAATATACATATTTTGAAAACACGTCTCTTTTAACCATTGAACTTGAAAATTTAAGTTTTAAACATTAAAAAGCAGGCTAACATTTTGCACGTTCAGCGAGAAGTTTAGATCTATATATAAGATGTTTAAAGTCGAAATTAAGGTGTACTGGTACATACAAAAAACTAGTGCCTTTTCTGATAGTATAAAAATAAGAACTTTCATTACGTATGGATGAGAGATTTATAGACCTTCAAAAAGTTCTTGACTTCCTTGGCAATTTAATCACAGTCAAGCGTTTGGGTGGCATTCTCAAGTGAACATTCGTGTCGCCTTTATAAGACCTCCCCAGCAAAAGTGTCAGGCTCTTCTAATCAGCCTCGCTAACTGACTACATTAACTTGGAGAAAAAGCTTATCTTTCGTTTGCAAAGGAATTAAAATTTACAAATGTTCCTTCTAAACTGTATTGAACACCGAGGCACGATTAACGATCGAAACAGTTTACGTAAGAGGGGGTCATTTTTCTTCCGCTATCAGGCGTCCCTAGATACGGAGAATTTTAAACAGAAATTTTTAACACCTGATCAAGAGTAATGACGGTATATGTTGCAACAGGTAATCTGCTCGTATTTGATACTCATTCAAATTTTCGATATGATGACATTTAAAGAAACACAAATGCAAGCTGTGCTAACATCCCCCTCCTTGAGCTGAGTGTACATATATCACAGGTTTTTTGAAGTGAAAGAACGGTTTGTTAACTGAAATTTCCCTTACCATTGAAAGATATATTTTAAAGCCCTATGAAGTATGCACAATTTGTAAAGATAAAAAAGAATGACATTATATAATTAACTTCCTTTTTTGAGAATATTAAAAATAGTAGTCCTACAAATGCACAGTTCAAGTGAACGAATTTTATAATTACCGATTGACCATGGGAAACGTCTTTAATTTTGGTACTTGTGGTCGTATTTTAAAGTGTGTTACACAAACGAATAGCTTTATATATAGTCAGTTGCCTCAACAGATTCGAAGACACAAAAAAATAATGAACCGGAATGCTGGGTACATTTTGTGTTTAATAACATTGCATCTAGCTAGCATTTACCTTCTACTCAAAGTTTACACCATCCCTCATTTCTACAAAATACATTAAGTAAAGCTCGTGTTTTTTTAATAATCTGCCTTTAAGTCCTGCTTGATATTAGTATGTTTTAGCCAATATATGACACAATAACCAGATAAACGAAATAAGCTGACACAGTTAACTACATGTATATAAAGATGTCAGGTGCTTTCATATCACAATAAATCAGATCATTTGTTCTGATCAAAGATAAATATGCTAATATATATTATATATAAAGTCCCTGACCTGTATTGCTCTTTCTCGGCAGGTGCTCCGTAGAAAGCCTTGGCCCAGGCCGAGTGGTACCGCTGGTGTTCCCGCTGTTGCATTAAGATCCGCCTCTGGTCGTTGTGCCAGTGTTGCTCTACAGTCTCCCAGTGATCCTGGATTCTTTTTCGGGGCGGGGGTGGGGCCAGAGGATTGACCCTGGGAGGAATACGGACCAGGCTCATGGAGCTCGAGAGTTCCCGCGGAGGGTAGGCTCCGTACATAGTATTGGAGCGCTGAATTGTGGGAGGGACGGGGGTGGCGAGGGGGGTACGGGTAATCTTTGGCAACGTCGTCGTAGCTGCCATCTTGGACTTTCTTTTTATATTCTAACTACTATCTGAAAAAAAAAATAGGATTAAAACTTGGTTATGGTAAAAATTATTAGTGTGTTTACTTTTGTATTGGTTAAGAGACTTAATCTTGTTGACAACAGAAATATCTACATGTAATGAATACAACTTTTTAGAATAAATAATTTTGTTTTGAGCATCAAACATCGAGTTCCAACAGCAGCTCTGAATTATTTACCTGTATTTACGTTCAACTATTTCAGTCATCACTTCCAGTGCTTTTTTTAAATTGTTTGAATTAATCGTTATGTCAACATGAAAATTTATTTAACATTTAACAAGTACACGTTTTATATAAATTATCCTTGCTCAGAACCTCTACTTAGAATGCAGTTATATTCCTCAGTTCGAACTTCTAAAAAGCTTGATAGATTAAACACAATTGAAAAATGTTGAATTTCGATATATTAATTGCTAACAACACCGACATTTGAATTATATATTGCTGATTTAACAATGGGGTACGGATTTAAAGCCTGCCTCGGATATCGCATTCAAATATTGGAAATGATAATCGCTGTTTATATTACAGTGGGGAACCCCGTCGAGTCTGGCGAACAATACTGCAATTCTTATATAAACACAGTCTTAATCCCCATATAAGTACAAATGAAATTAAATTCAGACTTTCAAACTGCATGCAGAATATATTATCTATGTATAAACATCTACAAGAATTTCAATACATTAACACAAAATATTGGTTTCTTGGGGGTTTTTTCTGTGCAAAATAGAAAAATCATTATTTATGTACATGTTTTTGTTCTTTTTTTTTTTACGTTTGAAAAACAGAAAACGGTTTATTTCAGACTTTAAAATATGCACAAACACAATCCTACATATCGTTATTCTGCTTTAAATAATTCAGCTGTGTAAAAAAGTATGTTTTCCATTGACAAAACTTGAGTTGATCGATATAAAACATTTCCTTCTAAAGGTATTATTTTCTTCGACCAGACATTAGAAAACTGACAGGGTTTGTTCTAGGTGAATAGATCTTGTCGCTGTTCAACTCGGGTTCTTTTTCAATCCAATACTGAGAGACAGGAGCTTTTAAAATTCCTAACGAGAGTTAAAATCAATGCTAGGAATAAGCTAGCAAATAGACCTTAATCATTGGACTTATGGATATATCCCGCACTGCTGTTTGCTTTCTGGATTTTCTAACGGAAATTTGCCCTTTTTAATGCGTTGAAAACAATGAAATCCGATTTTTCAATATACCCCACCTTTTTATATCTTGCTAAATTTTTTTTATTTTACAATTGAAGAAACACTAGTATCACAGCAAGATTAGTTTATCCGAAAAGTTATTTGTGCAAATGTATTTACAAAATTATAACAAAATGATTATATATTCAACTTATCAGTAAATTAACTACTACAGTAGTATTCGATTTCCAAAGAATCCATTTATTCTGTAATTTTTGTTTTATTTAACTATCATTATTCATATCACAATTATATACACGTTTTACCATTTTGTAAATTGCTTATTTTTTATCTGATGTTCTCATATAACACAGCAATTTTGACAAAATCAACAAAAACAAGTCTACATTTTTAATATATCTTAAGATAAAATAGAATCAAAATAAAGTTCGAAACATCCTTAATAGCAAACATGTATGATTACTTATGACAGAGTATATAAACAAAAAATACACCTACCTAACGTATCTTTAATGAATCCATAAATTACTCTAAAATAATACGGTATCTTCTACAATAACGGATCCATAGGGTCTCTAAATACTGATAGCCATATTGCACAAAACACGGAGATTAAGGTGGTCACATGATATGAACGTCGCTACGGAGACCACGAGAAGACTCAATCGAGACGAAATTCAAGGATTGCGAACAAAAAGTTAAATCTCCTTAAATCGGATTTCATTACCTACACGGCTCTGGGGCGAATTAGTTTATGTTTTTGGTATAGCTATTATCGCTCAACCAATATTCAATGTTTGTCGCAGGTCCCCATTAAATGAATTGGGAAAAAATGAATTTACCACCTGCGGTGAAGCATATCACGGGTTTCAATAATTGAAAATAAAATCGGACAGTAAAGGAAGGGAATTTAAATTTTGACATAAGAGTGAAAAACGAATGTGTTAATCTTTTAATAAGTACTTCTGGTTAAAAACCGTATGGTTGTTGCGACAGGTGACTGGCGAATTGTTTCATCGATTCTTCTGCGCATGACGCCAATAAAAGTTTTATTTCCGAATTTATTTCCAATTGATGAGTCTGAGGAATGCAAGAGTTTTCTCGCGAATAGTCTGCCGCATCAGTGTTTATAATTGTACGTTAATTCAAGTGATTAATAAAAGAAATTTTAACATACAAAACAAACCATACACTGCGTGCTAATAAAATCTGAGAATCGTACACCTTGAAGTTAAGATGACGTTAGATTAAATGTTTAATACATCTTTCTCTCTGTCTTATTTTAAAGCTCCTCGTAATCGAAGGATATATAGTTTTTACCCCGTCCGTCCGTCTGTCTACATGCATAGCTATCTGTTTGTCCGCAAAAAAATTAATAACCTTACATGTACCCATAACTTTTGATTGGTTTTTGCTATGGCTTTCATAATTTTACATGTGCATTCCATGTGACAAGACCTTTCTTTTGGTACCAGCATATTTGACCTCTTTACCTTGAAGTTTGACCAACTTTTGCAAATATTTACCTAACTTTAACATTGGCCATAACTTTAGGGCAGTTGATTCCAAGGCTTTCAAATTAACTTCACATGTGTATACTGTGAAAAGACCTTTCCATAGATATACATATGTCGGACCTTTTGTTCTTGAACTTTGAGTTTGACCAATATTGTTAAAAAAAAACTTTAACATTGGACATTTCTTTTTAACAGTTTATATAATGGCCTTAATGTTCACAGGAGTATTCCATTTTGGGTTCCAAAATATTTGACCTCTTGACCTTTGAGTTTGACCACCTTTATGTAAAGAAAAAAAAACCAACTTTTAACTAACCCAGAACTTTTGGGCAGTTAATTCTAGGGCTTTCAAATTTCATATGTGTATTCACTGTAACAAGACCTTTACATGGAGATAAATATGTTTGACATTTTAACCTTGAGCTTTGAGTTTGACCAATTTAAAAAAAATTAACCTTGGGCGTTTTTTTAACAGTTTGTACCAGGGCTTTGATTTTCCAGGTATTTTCCTTGTGACAAGACATTCCCTTGGATACCAATAATTTTGACCTTGACCTTGGAGTTTGATATACTTTTCAGAAACCTTCACCATAATTTTTGAACAGTTGGTGCTAGGGCTTTAATATTTCAAAATTGTATTTCTTATGACAAGGTCTTCCCCCGGATATATCTTTAGTTTGACCCTCTGACCATGACCTTGGCGTTTGACCCACTCAAAAAAACTTAAAACTTTGCCATAAATTTTGAATGGTTAGTGCTTGGGCTTTCATGTTTCACAGGTATATGCATTGAAACAAGTCATTTCTTTTCGTAAAAACACTTTCATCTTGACCTTTTAGTTTGACTTAAATTTGAGAAACTTCAATCTTCGCCAAAAGTTGTCATACGAGGGCATCAGTATTTCACAAACACGTCTTGTTTTATCTATCTATATATATATATATTTTTTTTTTGGGGGGGGGTCTATTTGCAAGGTCTCGGTAACACGTACGCTGCTACGGGCCTAATATATCTTTATATACAAATATAAGCTTAGGTTAAAAAGCACTCACAAAAGCCACTTTCAAAAGGACGAAAACAAGAAACTGGTTGTTCCAACTTAAAGTTTTAGCATTAAAAACTTTAACCTCCTTCAAGGTCAGATGATTATCCCAGTGATTTAGAATAATTTGACAAAAAAGAAAAGAATATATAATGCAGAAGGGTAACGGACATAACTCTTCCGGAATCTAGCTCTATAAGAATAGCATTTTGCCCTTCGTCAGATAAAATATACACTATCAGGTTTGTAGCAAGGGTTTCAAAAGAGAGAGGGGGGACTCCCCCCCCCCCAAAAAAAAAAAATCGTAAAAGCAAACAACATTGAAGGAACATTTACCCCAACTCACCCCCACCCTCGCGTTCTACGGGCAGAAAATTGGAAGACTGAGGTATTCTTGAAGAAATTCTATAAAAGTAAGCATACTAAGTTAAACAAATAATGTATACCTGTATGTAAGCAGTCGATAGTGTTTTTTTTTTTTTTTGATTAATAGTGTCTGTTCAGTTCAGCATGAAAGCTGCGTGGTGTTTTTAAGAGGTGCTGTTCATGTATTTAGTAATACATTTAATTAGGCTTAAATATATATGTATTGCATGTTTTATATATATTTAAAAAAAAAATCCTACTGCACGAGATATTTACAGCTTTTATGGGAAATGATATCAAATTGTTATATACGCTGTCCTGCGAGATTTATCTTATGAGTGCAGATAGTATGTTATTGAATTATTATTGGAGTGCGTGTTGATATGGAAAAGCCCATGTGTATATTTTGCATGCACTTATGTACGTAAAATATGGGATAAAGTCCAGTTTTCACGATACACACGTGTATAGCAGTGAGTCAAGGGTATAATTAAGATAAAGACAAATGTTATGTCACAATCTATAAATATCGTCCTTTCATAATTTATATAATATACCGTGACTGTGATGCAGAGTCTCATTAAACACTATGTTCGGAAGTCTAGTGTAGGAACTATAATTAGTAACATCGTACGAGTAAACAATAATTGATATATTACATAGACATTAACATTAATTAGAATCATTTCTCGTCTGTTACCATATTGATCAGCACTGGATACAGAACATCAGAAGACATGGATCGTTCGGCTCTGTTTGGAGGTAACATTTTATTTTCCTTTGAAAATATATTTAAAAATAAATATTAAAACACTATGTTCAAGTAATTTATATTTGAATTTGTAAATTAACTTACTGTTGTATATAATACTAGTATTCTCCTCTCTCTCTCTCTCTCTCTCTCTCTCTCTCTCTCTCTGGTGTTATAAAAAGCAATCAGACTTTTGCTGTCAATTTAAATTAGGCCATTTCAAGTTTTTGCTTTGTTTAGCGTCTCCTCCCCCATTTTTTCCAGTCACAACTTTGTAATACAGTTAAAGCTTATCTGAGAGTCCGGTTGTCCCCAGCTTTTTTGTTGCAGTACATTTAATCATGTATTATGTTTGGGCAAAAATAAAATTGTATAGAAAGAAAAGCCCCCCCCCCCCCCCCCCCCCCCCCGAAATAAGATTTTTGAGTTTGGACAGTTTTCCTTTTTTTTCAAGTCAAGATGTTTTCCAGATAAGTTCGGAAGTTTTTCTCTACCTCCCACCCCCACCCCCCCCCCCACCCCAACTTTCAAAAACGATGCTACGTCACCGGTTATATTACCTCCACTTAAAAAGTGAGCGGGTATATAGTGATCGGGGTGTCCGTCCGTCCATCCGTCTGTCTTCTACAGTTTGGGGTACCCATGTATTTTTAGCAACTCCTCTTAATCTTTGTTACATAGTTCCATTGATCACCTCCTAATTTACCTTATGATCGGACCCATATTTTGGATTTCCCAAAACACATCTTCGACCCATATTTTGGATTTCCCAAAACACGGACACCATTCTTTCTATAATATTGATGGGTACTCATCCCATCTGCAGCTCCTCCAAGCGGGGGGGGGGTGTTATAAAAAATCAACTTACCTGAAAGGTAAGCAGGAAATCTGTCTTAGATCAAAAATCCTATTTAGGGGGTCTAACTTTTTCCCTTTTAACAATTCTGCAACCAAAAATGGCTAGGGCAAACCGCCTTTCAATGAAAATGTTCTATATAGTAAAAGTGGGTATGTCTGGAAAAAAGCGGGGGGAGGGGTCAGCCCCTCCCCCCCCCCCCCTTGCTACATACCAAGCAAAATACGGATTTTGTCATTATAATCAGGCGAGGGTATCATTTTGTGAGCTCAGTGTTCACAGTACCTCTACATGTAATTGTTTCAGAGCTAGTCTATCAAATCTGGAAACATGTAGCTTTAGTCCTTGACATTATCACTGGAGATTTATTACATGCAGGAAGAAATTATTTCACGAGGAACTTTACTTGTGATATAATCCTATACATGTACATGTCACGCACATGTCGCAGGAGCTCAAAAGATCGTGGAAGGCATGCAGAGTTATCCTTCTTATATAGCGTTAAGTCTTAAATAATTTTTCGGTAAGCATTTATCATGTTTATTACACAAAGATTTGAACAGAATTAATTAATGAAAAAAAAGGAAGCTTTCGATATGGAATGCATACATGAAAAGAATGAAGGCAAAATAGAATTATCAACTTTTTGTTCAAAATTGACATTGTGAATCGATTGTAAATATTTAATCAATATTCAATAGAAAGATAAACTGGTAGTAATAACTGAAAACAATAACTTTAGATAGCAGGGTGGAATTCGTTGACTCGATAACGAAAGTGAAAAAAAAAAACATTGCATATATGTATGCACATAATATTTCTGTAATTATGTGTTGATATAAGGTGGTTTTCTACATTTTTGCCCCGCGAGTTAACGCTCGACCTAATTTCGACACACCTGAGGAATGTTTACTTTTATATTGGTTAGCAACAATGGCATGATCAGGTAGGATCATGTAAATTACGAAATGGCCCACATGGAATGCTGTATAGTGTATACTGAATACCTAGATCTTTGATTTTAGCTCACCACCTCGCCACAATGGACCAACTGACGTGCACAGTCAGGGATTCCAGTGCTAAAATTTCAAGTAGTCTATACGTAAGTCAGATTTATTTATTATTCACCTCAATGTTGTTTACGATTTTTAAATGAAAACAACCGGCAATGGCTTGGACATGCCGAAAGTTCTGCGTGTTATTTTAGTATAAGATCGAAAGCGCGTCTATACAAAAAGCATTGTGCCATGAAAGTTTGAATTGCACTTTCATATACATACTATAGTATATATAATTACATGCACATGTACATATGCAAATACTTTTGATAATTATCAATTTTGTCGTACATGCAGAATTATGAAAATGGTTCCATGGGCAGGTTTCTTTTTCAGAACATTCTCTCTCTTTCTCTCTCTCTCTCTCTCTCTCTCTCTCTCTCTCTCTCTCTCTCTCTCTCTCTCTCTCTCGTTTTATACATTATATGTTCGTGTACATATAGAATTACCTACAGTATGTATGATATTTGCTCTATATATACAAAACATGTGAAAAACGACCTCTAAAACAACACAATGAAATATAACACTTGATCTTCACCGTTAGACGTGAAAATAGTAGGTATATTTACACGTATCTTAATCTTCTAGTATTATTCTGATATGCTTACTGGGAAGTTGCACGACAATTTATTTCCTACAACGACTAAAGGACAGTACTCTCTATTGTATAAGGAAATTAAACTTGTTTCATATCTTAAATACACTAGTTTTAAAACAGTGTCTTGCAACTCCCCATACATGCACAGAATCAAACTTTCAGGTATTTAGGACACAATGTGTAAATGTGCATATTACCAGGAAATTCCGATTCCATTATTTTTTCCGGGAATTTCCACACTTTTTAACTTAGGCATTTGGCCATACCTTGAATATTGAACAGTTTGTCAGCGCAACATATGCACAGAATTCAAACTTTGCAGGTATTTAGGACACAATGTGTAGATGTGCATATTACCAGGAAATTCCGATTCCATTATTTTTTGAATTTCCACACTTTTTAACTTAGGCATTTGGCCATACCTTGAATATATATACTCCTCATAAACCGCTGCACAGAATTTCGTCAAACTTTGCAGGTATTTAGGACACAAATACAATACCAGGAAAAATTATATTTCCACACTTTTTAATAGGCATTTGGCCATACCTTGAATATAGAGATGAACAGTTTGAAACTCCTCATAAACCGCTGCACAGAATTTCGTCAAACTTTATATTTAGGACACAATGTGTAAATATGCATATTACAAGAAAATTCCGATTCAATTATTTTTACCGAGAATTTCCGCACTTTTTAACTCAGGCATTTGGCCATACCTTGAATATAGAGATGAACAGTTTGTCAGCGCAACTCCTCATAAATGCACAGAATTTCGTCAAACTTTGCAGGTATTTAGGACACAATGTGTAGATGTGCATATTACCAGGAAATTCCGATTCCATTATTTTTCCGGGAATTTCCTCACTTTTTAACTTAGGCATTTGGCCATACCTTGAATATAGAGATGAACAGTTTGTCAGCGCAACTCCTCATAAACCGCTGCACAGAATTTCGTCAAACTTTGTAGATATTTAGGACACAATATGTAGATGTGCATATTACCAAGAAATTCCGATTCCATTATTTTTCCGGGAATTTCCACACTTTCCAACTTAGACTTTTTGGCCATATTTACAATATAGAGATGAACAGCTTGTCAGCACCACTCCTCTTAAACTGTTGTACATAGTTCTTTTATCCCAAAGAGTTTTGCCTATTACAATCCCCCCCCCCCAACCACTTCAAATTAATGTTTGGATTTGTATAACAGTACTCTCTATATGTATGAAGATTTTTTTGCAATTAGGAAATTAAACTTGTTTAATGTCTTAATTAATATACGTAGTATTCAACTTGCACATGTATATGTATTATTATAAGCATGTGTATACGATGTAAATTTGTAAAGTATTTCAGGTTAAAAACATATGTATGTAAAGTAATAGAAATACTGACCACTTGCCATTAATTTATTACGAGCCGCTAGGAGACAGTATAATGTTATACAGAATACTGTCTTTCTGACATACTTTCTATTTATCAATATAGTAGTCATATTGCATATTTTTATTGATAAAAAGAAAGTATGTCAGAAAGACAATACGCTAACGAGGATAAAATTTTCTCTTTATGTTATTTTTGGTATATCAGATAAACGCAAGTAATCACAAAATACAAATTTTATGCCATTTTCACCAGGATAGGTATTTAATGGTCATTTATAATCTAATGTATTTGCCATTTGTCTACTGGTATTTATGGGAAAAGATGAGTTAAGGATTTAAAAGATGAGTAAAAAAAAAAAGGTTATCTTGACAAATATGTACACTCACTACACTGCGTAATTTAAAGAAGTCTGGAGATGATACCCGGTACAACGGGAGATTAAAAGATAACAATTTTTCTTTCCGTACATAAACATATCAGATTTTTATCGTCATGTATTTTGTAGCTTCCAGTCCGTATTTATAGGAAGTTTAAAATTTAAAAAAAAATGATTTCAGTTTTAGTTTGGTGCAACGCATATTTTTGTCAGATTCAACACAGCCTTATTTATGATGCATGCATGTTTTATGCCCCGAACTATATAAAACCAAATATTTCGAAGAATCAAATGGCTTTTTGATCCGCGCCCAACTTTCTCGTCACTTACATGCACTTCATTAAGCCACCATCTGTCGTGTTCACGGGATAACATCGACGATTATCAACCTGTTGCTATAACAGTATATTATAGTATATTTTATATATTGAGGATTGCCACGCATATATCTTTATTATGTTGTCCACTGGATATTTTTGTTTTTTATCATTAACCATATTAAAAACTTTGAAGGTAAGCAGACTGTACAATTTGTTAGAAAAAGTTGAGTCATGTTAGTAAATTTTCTAGCTGAATGGTTTTGATATCGAAGAGATATTTATTTTTATAGTGCGACACGTGTTTATGCGATTTTGACATATGTGAACAAAGACTATTTACGCAGTAAGAAAGGTATAATATCTAGAGTATATAGTGTCACAACTCACTTGATATGTCCAAAGTCAGTTCTTAATTCAATAAATAATCTTGATACTCTGACAATTTAATTAACGGAGATAAAACGGCACCGAAACTGGATCTAAACTATAAGTACTCGATGGAGCGGAGGTGGAGGGTTCAGCAATCACACAATGACCTAGCTACTAGTATTTCGACAAGAAAATGTTTATTAATAATTTTGTTTGAGAATTTAAAAAAAACAAACACGAGTTAGAATTGACTCAAAATAAAGTCAGATTTCATTTTCGTATGTTTCATTTTACTTTTTAAGGGGGCCGACTATAGTTTTATTGTGTGAAAACTACAATAGCGAAACTCTTCATTTTTATACCATACATGTATATAACTTACATTAACTTCAGTGTACATGCAAAGTTTGGGGGATATCTACCGTCCAGGTATTTTTGAGGGACCGTCTCAAAATACAGGTATATTTACTATAGGATTATATAGGAAAATGCCAATTTTTAGCACTTTAAAGCAAATTATACAAATACTACAATAGACATTTTGTTCAAACTATAATATTTGATGAGTAATACTATATTATACAATATATGAAAGAAACAAAAAAATCTACCATCTTGTTACCAGTAGAGTATTACAAAATATGACGTACGCAATGGATTCACATGAAAACATAATAAAAATATTGGAGATATTCTCAAATTTCTATGTTTTAAATTTCAAGAGCGTATGTTTATTACCTTTTCTTTAATAATATTTTTATTACCCCTTCCTTTAAGAGCTACAGATTATCATAACGTCAAAAACACACTGCAACGACGTCAACCTATCTATCAATTGCAAAATCGGTTAAAAATCAGTTATATCAAATTGTAATTACATATTTATACCTATATTTTCTTAATTTTGTTTAATTTTGATAATTAAGCGAAAAAAGTTGCATTAAAACAGTGAATACGCTTCATTTTACTGTGATGCGCGAAATATTGCGCAATGGAAACTATAGTCGGCCCCCTTAAATGTATAAATTTTCATAAGGATTTACATGACTTTTGTGTAGCTTTCTTATTTCCACTATAATGTCTTATCCCCCCCCCCCCCAAAAAAAAATATTTTATTTTATTTAAAAAAAGGAAATATTTGCCGATATTGGTAATTTGCTATGGAAATAAAACCACTTAGTTGCTGCATATAGAATGGCTTTTAAATTGTTTCATGGTATATAACGCAATTCAGCCTCAAGAAGCAAAACCCACTTTGAATACTTTACCAGCTCTTTGACTCTTTGATTTCTATTCAAGATGTCAGTATCTTATAAAAATTACACCTAAAATCATATATGCTAGTAAAATTTTACATAAACCTCTCTGATGGATAATTCAAACAATTCATTTATATTTACAGGAAGCAGTTTGTCAACTAAGAGGGGTGGAAGCGGGGGACAATCTATCCTCCCCGCAATACGTCACACCTTACCTGGAAGGTATTTCTTTTTTCCATTTACAGCACATATTTTCATAATGATCATATTTAACATCAAGGGATCTTGAATTCCTAGACTGACCACACCTTTCGTATATATACATGTACAGTTTACGTATATTTACAGTTTACGTATATTTACAGTTTACGTATATTTACAGTTTTCGCATTCATTCGTCGATTTCCTCCCTTACGTGTACCTTAAATTACTCATTTCTCTTTTAAGTATTTTGTAAAATATTTCTTGAGACTTTCTACCTGCTCTTCAGTGTAGTGTTTCTCCCATGCAGGCACAATAACTACATGTAGTTGTTTTGATGCTACTTAAAATAATAATCTTATATCAATAATACAACTGAGGTCAATGTTCTTCAAAATACTTTTGTAAAGATGCATTATTAAAAATGAAACCAATGATGATATGTTATCTATAAATAAATTCAATATTTCTGTCTTTTTTGTAAATTTTATCACGCGTTAACACGACTAAAAATACACCCTAGAAGTAATGGATCAATATGAAAAAAGGTTAATTCATACACAGTCTGTATGGCTAGATGTCAAGTTTTACTAAGAGCAAAAATATTTACGCACAAATCTTGCGGGTTCGCTTTCACGTGCACTAAAATACACCCAGGTACAAAATTTTCACGTATATAAAATGTTTCATGCATGTGTAAGTACTGTTAATCACCTTTATTCGCGGGAGCTTTATTTTCGCTGTATAATTTTGAGAGTCTGTCTGCTCTCGAATATTTATTCTCGCTCAATGATTTGTAAGAATTTGTAATGGTAAAGGATTTTATATATCACAATGATCACAGCTCGTGAAAATGTTTATCAGGAAAAAGCTATCTTGAGTACATAAGTTTCGCGAATATACATATAGTGATATTCAGTCGATGCACGTAAACTTGAGCCATGCCACACTTAAACGTGATATTCAGACTTATTTCCCTCTTTTTCAGATGTTAAGGAAACCTTTATTATGGCTGTGGAGCACACCTGTCTATTGATTGCGGGGATATTAATGCTTATCACCATTATAATTCTGATAGTGGGAACCATCATAGTCTCGTGCTGTTCTCGCGATGACGAGATCGACTACAGAATGATACCCCAGGGGGATTGGCACCCGGAACATCTGGACTATGATAACATTTTAGACCTATTACAAAGTATTCAAAAAAGCAAAAAATTTCAAAATTTACAGGAATTTTTAGCCCAAAAAAACATTTAGTTCATTTGAATGACAGCTGATGTAAATTTCAGACCGAGTTTATGCATACATCATCTTCATCATAACGAAAAAATGGGATTGGAGACTTTGCAAATGTCCTTCCAAGTGAATCCATGCAGCTTCCATTTTCTCAGGGATTTATAAACTTGTTCCTGAAACCTCTTCCAGGTTGTTTTTCATTCCTCCGAGGAAAAAACTGAGTTATGTGTGTAAGGCTCATAAGCTGATACTTTATAACAACAATTATGTTGGCATTCCATACATTTGGTAATGCTGAACAGAAATCCATTCCCTTGGTGCTTTAGCTAGGTTAAATGTATTGTAAGAGTGATTTTTTTCTTGTTAAATTTCTATATATGTACTAGCAAAATTTTAAATTTTTTTATTTGTTTTATATGCTACATTATATTGTGATGTAGAAATAAATAATTGATATATTTATAATTATATGCAACTGTTATATAGTCAGCATAATATATCAGGTTTTCTGGACCTTGGAGTGAGGTACAGAGTTTCAATTGAATGTAGGTAGGGGTTAACAACAAATATGGGAAATTACGAGCTTTATATGGCCTAAGTGTTTGGTCCAATATTGATAACAATGATATGTAAGTTGTTTAAATCGGACGGTGCTGACCGTAGCCGGAAGTTTGTTTTGTTTTCTATTTTAATATATATAATTGTTATGATTTACTACATGTAAATTGTTTTATTGAAAAAATCAAGTCAATAAATACCATTTGTTACAAAGTCTGGAAATCTATCTGTGAATAGTTACAAGAATCACTGGCTGACGACTTCAGAAGTGGTCGACAAAAAATCAATATATAAGGAAGAGATTTTTAAATGGAAATTCAATTTGAAATGGAAAATACATAATATTATAGCTATCCTATATATCTATATGTACAAACATATGACGTCAGAAATCTCGAAAAAAAATCTAGACGGAGAAAAGATAAATAGCGGAAGGAAAAGAAAAATTTGCTATTGACTCCACATTTAAGAAAAAATATACGAACATTATGACTTTTGTTTGCTTACATGCACCAAAGCATGCATGGTTTGTCATTCTGCTTAAAGAGTAGTCAAAGATCTCACCTTCAGTATTACAAGAGGTCTTGTTTCAGGGTTTGCTTTCTTTATAAATAATTTACAGAGAAATTTTTGTATACTAGTATATTTATTATTTAAAGAATTCTACATGTATGAACGTATGAAACCACCAAGGAAATACAATTTGGTGTCATTTTAAACCATGTGCATTATTTTCTGGGACTTGAAATAGAGCAACGATGAATGCAAATATAAAAACACTGTTTCTTTATTATTATTATTATTATTATTATTATTCCTGGGAAAATTTTGTCTTTGAGTGATCTTGTAAACTACACATCCGACTTAGGTAAAACCTTTTTAGGGTCACTAGGGATGTTATGTAGATTTGCCGAAAGAAGGTCATTTTGCGCGCAAATGCTTGCAAGAGCGAGCACATGCAACACGTTAAATGGCCAATATAAGGTATATTGACTTAACTTTAAATATTTTTTGACGAAATGCTATATAAATGCGTCATAATGTAAGGATATATTAGTAGTATAGACAAGATGACATGGTCAAAATAGTAAGATCTCAACGCGCATGCACGTGCGCTTTGCTCTGATTGGCTGAAACTAAAGTCTCAATATCTTTCTTGTTTTTTGACGAAATCCTTTGAAATTTTCAACATAGCCATAGCCACGATATCCTACAATATGATATATAGCAATTTTCATGAAAACACGTGTATGCACGTGCGCTGCAATCTGATTGGCTGAAACTTCAAATAGCTATAACTCCCTTGGTTTTCAAAAAAAAGGATGGGTTTTGGAACATAGATACATATAATGGATTTTACAAGAGGGTATGGTCACCATGCACATGCATAAACGTGTGTGTACTTGCGCTGCAATCTGATTGGCTGAAACTTAAAACAGCTATAAAACTTGATTTTCAACCAAACAAGATGGGATTTGGAGCATAGATATATATAATGGACTTCTACAAGAAGGTATGGTAACCATGCACATGCATACATGTGCGTGTACGTGCGCTGCAATCTGATTGGCTGAAACTTTAAATAGCTATAACTCCCTTGGTTTTCAACCAAATGGGGTGAAATTTAGAACATAGATAGATGTAATGGACTTCTACAAGAAGGTATGGTCACCATACTCATGTATACACGTGCATGCACATGAAATGGGTAAAATAAAAAATACACTTGAATGAGCGTTTTTTTTTTATACTTTTGGATTAAATACTTTGATATTTAGCATATTAAAATATATAGGTCGTGTAGACAATATGATATGGTCATACGCACATGCATTAACATGTGTAAGTGTGCAATGATAAAATTTGAATGAACATAGTACACTTTTTTTGTTAAAGTCTCAAATGCATAGAGTTTGTCTTATTTAAAAGCTTACAGGGAATATGACTATAAAAGTTATTGGGGAGCGTATTAATGTCGTTACGGTCCCCGTTACAATTAGCACTAGTTTTCTGGGACTTGAAATAGAGCAACGATGAATGGAAATATAAAAACACAAATACTTAATACTAGGAAAAGATTTTATCCAAAAAAATAAGTAACTTGGGTGTGTTGAAGGATAGCTAGTCGTGTGGATTCAGAACCGCAACAAAATTAATGATATCATCCAAAGGAAACTTACACGCATAAAAAAAGAATTTTAGAATAATTTTAAGAATTATATAATGATTTTGTGTTTTTTGCTGATACAAACAACAGAGAAAAATATTAAGTTGTAGCTGTTTGTCAAATGATATATTTGGTTAGGATGAGGGAGCAACCGATAGTATTATTAAAGTGATCATCATAGAAAATGTAGAAATTTGAAGGAAATAGGAATTGTAATATTCCACGGTCATTTGATAAAAATAAAAAGCTACATACCAAGAAATCCCTTCCCATTTTCCTTTGAGTCGAATTACTCAATGCATGTGAAATTATTCGTGGAATTTAGCGGTTTTTTTTTTAAATGATAGCCTTAAAATTGTTTTAACACAGGCATTGCTACTTTAGAGGAACGTTTCTAAACTATAATCTAATATGTACTCTGAACAATGAATTAGACTAAGTAATCACTAAATCAGAAATTTCTGAGATAATAAATATTAAAGTATACCAAATCACCCCCAGGATTAAACTGAATACAATATGTAATCATATGCTGAAATATGGAAAAACTCATTCATTGATAGTCTGGCAAAGATTACTCAGTATTCAATAGCTGTTCAGCAGGTGGTATTTATCCAAACCAATGGTCCTCTCGTATTATAACTGTACTTCATAAATCTGGAGATGCACATGACCCAAATAACCATAACTAGTGCAATAGGAAAATGAATGAATAGTACTTAGTGAAAATGCATTAATTTTTTTTTAAAAATCTTCTCCTCTGCTTCTGCGTACTTTATCAATTAATCATTTACATGGTTATGATTAGGAAGGATGCCTCTTTCAAAATTGTGAATTTCAGGGCCCCTGGGTCAGGGGTTCTTGTGTTAAAAAAATACATTAATTCTTTGAAGATTTCCTTTGCCCCTGGGTACTTTATCAATGATCTAAAATTTACATGTACATGTATATATTTATGATAAAGAAAAGTGTCTTTTCCAAAATGATGAATTTCATGGACCCTGGGTCAGGAGTACCACGGGGGTAGATATTCTGAAAATGAATTAATGCTTTAAAATCTGCTTTTCTGGTATTAATCAACCACTTGTGATGAGCAAGCCTTTTCGAAAATTGTAAAATATGTGGCCACAAGGTGGTTCCTGTGGGATGGGGCACTACTGATTATTAGTATATAGCAGAAATGCATTTTTTTTTCTATTTTTTCCTCTGATCTACCTCTAGGTATCGAGTAAACAAAGTAAGCATGCCAATGCATTAGCAATCAATATAGTTTAAAACACAAACCAAATCCAATTGTTAAAAAGTTGTTGCATTAATAAGCTGGTGACCTATATGGCCCGTGGGGCTCTTGTTTTATACTGAGCTGGAAAAATCATCCTATTGACCAGGTTTATTTGACCCTGGCTTGACCTTTAATCTTTTTTACAGACAACATTTTTCTATTTTCATAATTATAGTTTAACCCATATGATCTTTGATATTGACCTCTTCACTGATCGTCGGAAACCCACGGGTGATCTCTTAACTCAGATAGAGGACATCAACTCAATATGATGTATCGGTGTACATTAATGTACGAGTTTGATGTCTATTTGATCAATAACAGACTGACCAATTGGTGCAAAACCAATATCCTTTTTTTTTTCAAATGTGAGGGTGGGTGTTATAAAGAAGATGGGGGGAACAAGGCGGGCGAAGTGCCTATAGTGTAACAATTCATGAAGAGAAAAATTAAATCTCAATTAATCATCACAATTTTCCAAGATATTTCATTTTTTAACACTAAAGTATTTTTTCATACTTTAACACGAATATCAGTGGGGGTCTTTGCTCCTATTTTTGAAGGATAATACTAAAAGTTTGCAATAAAATATACATTTTTTTTTATTTACAAAAACATGGAGCAAGGACCCATTATACCTTAAAGTACACTTTTTTGGCAAAACATTCGTATCTTTCCGAGAAATACTTGAAGTCTGTTTAGTCATATCAAAACATGATTTAAATTCCACAACTCGACAAATCCCACATTATTTCGAATGAAAGAATAATTTTTTTTCAAGATAATTTTCCCCGTAAAAGTTTTGGTTTGTCAATAATTTTTATGAATTTCAATAATGAGAACTTAATCTAAATAATAATACATGTATTATTAAATAACAAAATGAATATGATTTCTTAATATCTGAAGCTATAGGCATTCTGCATGCCCTGTTCCCTCATCTTCTTTGGTGCTCAAACTGCTCTTAAACAAATAATTTATCTAAGGAAAAATGAGGAAAAACTTGATACAAAAAATATTTAATTCCATATTCCAGGTACTACATCACATACTAGTAGTTTACAAACATTGTACATTAAACAATTAATAATTACACATCCTTTATTAATTATTCACAACACACAGCTGATTTCTCCAATCTACAAAATATACATCAAAGAGGCAATCTCCTTATATGCATCATATTTCAAATTAATGAAAGTTTCATAAATTGATCGAAGAAAACATCAATAAGTACTGGTATCACTTGAATTAAATTTGACCTAGTACATGTATATTTCTTCTTTTTTTTCTTCAATTTTTTAGGAATATATAGTTATTTTATATGCTTCCTACATTTAAATGTTTCTCATTTTTCACATTTTGTGAAGATCAGCTTTAAAGTTAAAGTTAAGATACAAAATGATGCGAAATCGAACAACCAAACAATAACTTATTTATTTGCTGTGTTTATCGTCCACCAAACTCGAGCAATGATTTTTGGGGAAAATTTTCATGGTCCATTGAAAGAATAAGTGATATGTCAAACAATTTTATAAAAAGTGGGGCCTTTCAATGAACATATTCTTAAAGTATATCAAAATCATGAAATTTAAAATCATGAATATTCCTGTGTGCTTTCAGAGAAAATAAATATGGAATTATCACATTACAAAAACTCTGATAGACCCTATTCTTAAGTTCGTGAAAAATTCATATTTGAGGCAGAAAATTAAAAATCTGACACAAACATCAGTGACCACAAAGCTTGTTTACATATATTTA